TCAACTGGTCCTTCCCACTTTTCACCAGGATGTGATCATTGCATTTCTGTGATGCAGTCTCACAGCCTTGTCAGGTTTGGGGCCCTGGAAGGCCTTCATCCTCCCTCCCTCAAAAGGATGGAAAAGCAAAAAACCCCATATTTTGATGATGATTAAATACAACTTTCTGATACTGCATAACTTTGATACGAGTTACAGACATTTTTGTAAAATTCATCCACTCTTCAATGCAGTCTTGTCCATCTAAAAGCACATGCATTTAAAACCAGGTCTTCTATGTGCTAGCTACATTAGAAATTAAAACTGTAGTGTGTTTTGTCTTGTCTAGGCTTGATTTTTTTCATAATTTCTTCACACAGAGTAACAAAAACGGATTACTTCTATTCACTCAGGTTCAGTCCCACTGGTTTAAATGCTTCAGTGTTTGCCCACAAGCTATCAAAAAACCCCACAGAAACCAACTTTATTAAAGAGTAATCTTTGGAACTTAAGTCATATGAACATTCTTCTAAATCTTAGCTTTTAACAGCTTGTTTTTATGAAATGTGATTTTTTTACCATTGTGATTTAGTATGTTTAATTTATTCAGCATACAAACATAGGTACCAGCTCAGGCAGTAAGCAGGTCTTTCTCACTGTCTTTTTTCCCCACCTTCTTTCATTTTACTGCTTTTTAATCTTTCATTGCAGTTAATCTCTTTTAAAGAAAAGCACATGACAGGAAAATACCTTGTTCATGTGTCCAGAAGGTGGGGTTTTTTGTTTTATTTTTCCAGTTGTTGCTTTTGATTTTACTTTTGAAATACTCTTTTAAAGGTACAATTGCATTTGCTTATACAGCATATTTAAAATTTGTTCATGTTATCAGTTGGGGTCATGTGTCAATTTCCAACAAAGAAAAAAGAACCAGCTTTTGCCTCAAGATCAGATGCATTTATCCTAATGTCGCACAGTGAATTTTCTTTCTGCATTTCTCTATGCCTTACTTTGAAAAAAAAAAAAGCTGTGACATGAAACTTCGCTACATGAAATTTAGACAGCAAATTGCCACTTGTTAACATGATGAAAATTTCCCACACGAGGATGGATTACATTTTGCATGCTGCAGCATAAGAGTACAGTTTATCATGCAGTAGCTTGTGGATCAAAACCCTTGTGTGCTGCTGACAGAGGAGTTTTTTCTTCTTCATTCTCACTAATGTACTGTGTGAATCTTCTGTTCTGAAGCATTAACCAGCAGCAGCAGCCTCATCTTTTGTGTGTGCTGCCTCAGACATTTATTTTGATTGACAGTGGTTTGTTTCCTAGTAAGGCCAAACATCGTCACACTAAAAGCACGGGTCTGTTCCATGTGACTTTAAGGTTGTGTCTGTTCATTCTTCATTGCAGGGTTAGAAGGTAAGCCAAGGAAAGGAGAGTATCATTTTAGGAATTTCTCATATGCCCACTCCAGATTTGCAGTTTTACCACCAACCTCACAATTCACAAGGTGGCTGTAATGCACAGGAATCACTGAAGTGTGTTTCCCACCTAGAACATAGAGAGATTTCCTGTTCGTTGCTGACTTCACAGCTTTCAGAAGACGAGTTTTGTTTTTTTGAATTTGATGTCTGTTTTTTCTCATTCTACAGAACTACCTTCGTGTTGCGTTCCAGGAAGTTAACAGTGGCTGTACAGGAAAGACCTTGCTAGTAAGACCATACATCACTACTGAAGATGTATGTCAGCTTTGTGCTGAAAAGTTTAAAGTGGACAATCCAGAAGAATACAGCCTGTTTCTTTTTGTTGATGACACCTGGCAGCAGCTGACAGAGGATACCTACCCTCAGAAGATTAAGGCAGAGTTGCACAGCCGTCCGCAGCCCCAGGTCTTTCACTTCGTCTACAAGCGCATTAACTGTGATCCATACGGTGCCATTTTCCAAAACAGTGATGACTCAGTTTCTTAAAACCAGCAACTCATCGTTTAATTTTTGTTCCTCGTTAACTGTTGAAAACATCTTTCTTGGCTGCCTTCCTTAGGACCTAAAACACATCTAAAACCATAAATGCCTAGTAAAACACACGCAGACACTTGTAGCATTGCTTACAAAACCCCATGTAAACCATGCATATGGCCAGTTATGCAGAATATTCCACCAGCGTGTTTCAGTAAACAGCCCGTGAAGCTCAATTTCTTGTACTCTGGACTCTTTTGAAGCATCTTATACCGTGGCCCTTTGCAGGTCTTTTGCTGTACTGTGCAAACATCTATTTTCTTACACTCATCCTTTAGCCAAATGTTATTTTGATTTTAAATAAATGTATGCTAGACAAGTATTTCAGTAAACTGGCTGGTATGATCTCAGTTTCAGCAGCATGAGATTGACAAGACTGTCCGATGCAGGGCATCAGTTAACTCCTAATTACATGGATGATTGCATCCTCTCTTAAGTTTTTAATTACAGAATCACCATGGTTTTATATATATATATATATCATAGAAATTTTATAGCAGTTGCAGGTAAACTGTCAGGGTTGGTTTTTGAAATATTTTTTTAACTATAAAGTATTCTATAATTATGCATGTGATTTTAACATTTAATATACAAGAATAAATCTCTTGCTGGTTTTAGAGTATTGCATTAAAGGTCTTGTGGTTTCTCATCTTTTCCTGTAACAGGAGAGCTCTTATGAAACTCCTGTTATCTGTAAGAAGATTGTAACATTGGCACTGGCAATTTCAGTGCCTTTATCTGAATTTGACGTACTGTTATCTAGACTATTGTTTATATGCATTGTTTTTAGACAGAACTGGGGTGTTGGAAGAGGAAATTGAAATAAAAGGTTATAGAGAAGGGGCAGAGAAAGAATGTAGAGAACATGATTTGGGATTAAAATGTGTCAGTCTGCTGGTTCAGGCTAAGTGAAGGAGGTTGGAACTTTTATGTAAGTAGTATTGTAGATTTGCAGAGGGATGTGACAACACCTATCTCAGATACTGTTTATGTTAGCAGAGGATTAAATACATCATTAAGGTGAAGGACACCTCAACTGTTTTGTGTAGTCTGTCACCAACATCAAAATGTTTCTTGGACTGAAGAATGTGTTGTAGCATTTCATGGTTCTAAGTCACTCAGTAGGGGAGATGTGAAAGTAAATCCTACATATGCAAAGATAAAATGTGTGTTCTGCACATGTTCTACAGATCTGTCCTGGGTTTAGCAGTAGCAGTCATTTTTAAACCACGACAAGATCTTAGATTTATCTTGGATAAATCTATAGTTTTATCTGAGATAACCAATGCCATGGGTAATGCTGTGGACCCTCATCATGTCAATTAGGGCTACTCTTTAAAAGGACATGGGGTTCTCCCTCAAGTCTGCTGTGAGCAGTGTAACACAAGGCAGATGATTACAAAAATGTCACGATCAGCATGTGTATTGTACATAGAGAGATGTGTAGCATTTTTGTGAGTTTGCCATATATCTGAAACTCTTTGATACGTTTGTATTTCATTTTGTAAATGGTGAGTTTTGCACATAATACATTGTAATACTGAACTGTCATTTTGGATGTTGTGTGCTGTGGTTTGGGGGGGGGTTGGGGGGGTTGGGGGTTTTTTTGTTTCTTAAGAAATGGTTTGTTCTTGAATGTTTTGTGTATCAGTAGACTCTGCTGCTGCTGCGTTTTTATACTGCTTATCCCTCTTTAAATTCTCTGGAAAGGAAGGATGCAATAACATTAGTTAACACACTTGACCTGAACAGTCAGTAGAAGCAAGGAGGCGTTTATCTTGACTGCCGAACCATTTCTTCTGAAGTTAAGACTCACAGTAAGTGCTAAAGAAAATTTTGCTGTTTTCATGTGATAGGAAGAACTTGAGCAGAGAGGCACAGTATTAAGAAACACAGAATTAAGGCATGAAATGAAGGAAAAAGAGTGCAAAAAGGAAAATGCCTGCTCAGACCACCTCAGCAGCATCCTCTTGTCTGTCTTGTGCAGTTGATTCTTTTGAAAATTAGACTATTTTATTCACTGCGTTGTGCAAACACTTCTCATAATGCCAGGTACCACAACAGAAAAACTTTGTACAGAATTTGGACTTGTAAAAACAAGCTCTTTCATCACCTCCAGTGCAAAATACTTGACGTTACAAAACACTGAAATGCATGAAAAAACTTAACAGTGGAGGTGTTCTCTCTTTATTACTCCCTCTTTTTGAAGAGAACTGAATGGGTAAGAGAAATAAAGATGGAGGCAATAAATCCGTAAATCTTGCTAATAAAACAAGCTTAATAGAAAAGGTAATACTTCATTAGGGGATTATTTGTGAATTCACAGAAAGTACATGCTGCACAAACATAAAATACCACCAGCAGCAGTTTAAATAAAATCCAGCTTCTGTCCTTTTTCCATGATATTTTACATCTTTACGGCATCGTCCCCCCTCACAGTCTCGGCCTTCTCCAGGCCCATCGCAGGCTCAGCACATCGCCCTTTTTATCTCTGGAGCTGCAGCATCCCGAACCGGGAGCATTCTATACCGGGGTGGGGGGAGGCCGCTGCTGTAGCTCCAGGACAACGGGAGCGCACGAAGCTGGATTCGGGCGGACAGGGCCGGATTAAACACAAATAAACGGAGTTAGGTGCCGCTCTCGTAGCTCTGGCCAGGGCCGCGGAGGGCAGGGCGTGAGGGAACGCGGCAGGCGGCTAAAGCAGAGGCGGCTCTGCTTGCCTAAAAACGCTGGCGGCGAGTGCTGGCGTGACCACCTGAGAGGCCCCGAGCCTCCGCCTCTGGCTGTGCTTCTGCGCCTTCCGCGCCGGAAAAGGCCCTGGGCCGGGGGCCGCGCTTCCGGGCCCTCAGCTGCAACCACCTCTTCCTCTTCAACAGCACGGGAGCCCCGGCCGCCTCAGCCGGGTGCGGCGGAGAGTCCCCGCCCGGTGCCCGCGCTCCGCCACGCTCGGCTGTGGCTTCCCTCCTACTCTTCGGGAGGTCGGAGCGCCGGTCTGCGGGCGGGGCCTGGCCGCGCCGCGATGACCCTGCAGCAACCTGGACCCGCTGACAGAGGCCGAATCCTTCTCGCTGCTGGGTGGAGGGCGCAGCTGGCTCCTGAACTGAGGCCCAGTACGGGATCCCGTTCTGTCTGCAATAGCTGGCGCACTGGCCCGAGTATTTCATTGTCGTCGAGGCACCCGGCGAGGAGCTAGTGGGTTACAGTGAGTGCGGGGTCCCGGGGCTGCCGTCTCGCTGTGCTGCATGTTAGTTGGTTATAACGCAGGACCTTTTCCTACTCCTAACTTTTTCCAACAGGGAAGAGGACTGTCGCATAACATTTTTCTGTTTCATACCTTTCTTAGGGTATTAGGTGGGACTCACAGCAGCAGTTTTTGGTTTGGTGTTGCTAGCCTAGCAAGGGCTCTTGCCTGTGGTGGCAGGTTTTATACAGGTACAAGAATTTCTGTAATCATAGAATCATGGATTCATACAATAGTTAGGATTGGAAAGGATCTTAAAATCATCCAGTTCCAACCCCCCTGCCATGGACAGGGACACCTCACACTAAAGCACAGAGCCACAAAGATGATTAAGGGAGTGGAACATCTCCCTTATGAGGAGAGGCTGAGGCAGCTGGGTCTGTTTAGCTTGGAGAAGAGGAGACTGAGGGGTGACCTCGTCAATGTTTACAAATATGTAAAGGGTGAGCGTCAGGATGATGGAGCTAGGCTTTTTTTCAGTGATATCCAGTGACAGGACAAGGGGCAATGGGTGTAAACTGGAGCATAGAAGGTTCCACGTTAACATCAGGAAGAACTTCTTTACTGTGAGAGTGACAGAGCACTGGAAGAGGTTGCCCAGGGGGGTTGTGGAGTCTGCTACATTGGAGATACTCAAGGCCCTCCTGGACAAGTTCCTGTGTGATGTACTCTAGGTTACCCTGCTCTTGCAGGGGGGTTGGACTAGATGATCTTTTGAGGTCCCTTCCAATCCTTTGGGATTCTGGGATTCTGTAAACTATGTCACCCAAGGCTCTGTCCAACCTGGCCTTGAACACCGCCAGGGATGGAGCATTCACAACGTCCTTGGGCAGCCCATTCCAGTGCGTCACTACCCCTACAGTAAAGAATTTCTTATATCCAATCTAAACTTCCCCTGTTTCAGTTTTAACCCGTTACCCCTTGTCCTATCACTACAGTCCCTAATGAAGAGTCCCTCCCCAGCATCCCTATAGCCCCCCTTCAGATACTGAAAGGCTGCTATGAGGTCTCTATGCAGCCTTCTCTTCTGCAGGCTGAGCAACCCCAGCTTTCTCAGCCTGTAATCCTGAGTCCCTGTGCTCAGCTCTGAACTCATGCTGTCCATCATCATAAGTAAAAATGCTGAGCTTGCGTTTGACGTTGTCCTGTAAGGGAGAGCTCTGGGACTGGTTGTCACTTATTTGCTGTGGAATATTTGTATTTTGCAGAAATCACTGCATGGAAATGGTGGTTTGTTGGATCCTTCCGCCCTGCCTCCATCCTCCCTTGAGAAGCAGAATAAAGGGTCTTTAAGGGAAATAAATTATTTAACATAGTAAAGCTTAAAGCATTTGCTGTACAGAAGGTTTCTCTGTACCAACCACATCAGTTGCTTATTGGCAGTGACTGATGTTTATAAGAGTACCTTGTAGAAGTGTGAGTATTCATTAATGAACTAACACTAGTTTGGCTCTGTGTAGAAAGGAGAAGAAATACAGAGAAGCACCCAAAACACCCCCCACCCCACCCCTTGTTTTTTTTCCTTTAAACATTCTGTGTTTGCAGGGCCTTGGCTTCTGTTACCAGGTTGGCAAAACTTCCCAGGCTCTGCTCTTCCATGGTCACCAAAAGTCTTCAGTAGTTGCCAGGATGGTGACTTAGTTTTGGCTTTCCAGCCCTCCATTCCTCCATTATTTTAGTTAGGTCCTGGATTCTGCTCAATTAAAGACTCACAAGAATTCCTTAAAATTTGCATTTGGCAGTCATGCCTGAAACGGGGATTTTCAGAATATTTGTGGCAGTTTTTTGCTATTTTTTTTTATACTATCAAGGAACAAGTGTAACACTTGAGCAAAATTACATTTGTAGTGGTTGCTGAAGCACCAAGTCATAACATAGACATCCCTGTGTGAGCCTTTACCACAGTCCTTGCAACATTTGTTTGTATGCTGGGGGGTGTTTTGCTAAAGGTGTACAGAGTGTGGTGCATTGTTCTAAAGATGCTGCTGGGCTGATGCTGTCTGTGTTCACAGTAGTGGGTAAAGCAGAAGGCTCTATGGCTAGGGAAGAATGGCATGGACATGTTACTGCTCTCTCTCTTGCACCAGAATTCCAACGGCTGGGTTTGGCTGCTAAACTGGTGGAACTTCTGGAAGAAATTTCAGAAAAGTGAGTACTATCCTTAAGTTTATCTTTTAAAACTTAAGATTAAAATTATCTTTAATATTTCTACAGACACCTGTTCATGGCTTAGGTATTGAATTTGCATGAAGCATGCCCAGAGTTTTAAGTAGTGTTCTAACTGACTGAAATTCCCGGTAGCTAGAGAAGATCTAAAAACGTTGCTTTGTTCTGTAAGATTTCAGGGCTTGCTGACTTCCCAGGATGGGCAAGAATTAGCCTGAATTCCATCAGAGATACTCTGTAAAAGGCCCATTTCTTCACAGAAAAGAGCTTCATGAAACATCAGCTGCTTCATAACTGCTTCATGTAGGGCCTCAAACACACTTGTTCAGTAATCATGGGCTCCATGCGATTCCCACATGCAGAGTTTTGGAAAAATTTTGTAGAGCAAACAGTATCTTAGCTCAGTGTCCTGTGTTTGGGGGTTTGTACCTCCTGAAAGTTTAATTTAGCATCAGATGAACCCATGGGGGAATGTCCTCTCTTGTGCTGGTGGCACAGCCCCGTTGCAATCAGTAGGATCAGAAAGGAGTACTATGTTTTGAAAAATTTTTCTGTTAGGAGAAGGGTTGTCTCCTGTTGGGCAGCTGCATTTTGTGACTGTTTCCATCACTCCCCCGTCCGTGCACTTGGAAGGAGGCAGTCCCTAAGTCAGTGCAATCTAAAATGTGGATTAATTTTTTTATTTTTTAATAATTTCTTATGGCTGTGAGGCCTGTGTGGGTGTTCAGCTTGTCCTGTTCTTTCAGTTCATAATTCTGAACCTGCAGTGGCTGTAAAGGAATGGTCAATGACAAAAATAAAATGAAATTTGTGCTAGATTTGTCCCTTGCTAAAGGGCATCTGTTATCACAGCGTGACAGATGTTGGATTAGTGTTCTGCATCAGTGGACCTGCTCTTGATCTGATTACAAGTTATGGGTTATTATTTTGGTTCAGTTGATACGCTGGAGGGAAGGAATGCCATCCAGAGGGACCTTGACACGCTTGTGAGGTGGGCTGATGCCAACCTCATGAAGTTTAACCATGACAAGTGCAAGGTCCTACACCTGGGTCGGAGCAATCCCAGACACAGCTACAGGCTGGGCAGAGAAGAGATTCAGAGCAGCCCAAGGAGAAGGACTTGGGGGTGCTGGTTGATGAGAAAATGAACATGAGCCGGCTGCAGTGTGCGCTTGCAGCCCAGAAAGCAACCGTATCCTGGGCTGCATCAAAAGGAGCGTGACCAGCAGGGCGAAGGAGGTGATCCTGCCCCTCTACTCTGCTCTCGTGAGACCTCTCCTGGAGTATTGTGTGCAGTTCTGGTGTCCTCAACATAAAAAGGACATGGAACTGTTGGAACAAGTCCAGAGGAGGCCATGAGAATGATCAGGGGACTGGAGCACCTCCTGTATGGAGACAGGCTGAGGAAGTTAGGGCTGTTGAGCCTGGAGAAGAGAAGGCTGCGTGGAGACCTCATAGCAGCTTCCAGTATCTGAAGGGGGTCTATAGGGATGCTGGGGAGGGATTCTTCATTAGGGACTGTAAGTAGTAGGACAAGGGATAATGGGTTAAAACTTAGACAGGGGAAGTTTAGATTGGATATAAGGAGGAAATTCTTTCCTGTTAGGGTGGTGAGGCACTGGAATGGGTTGCCCAGGGAGATTGTGAATGCTCCATCCCTGGCAGTGTTCAAGGCCAGGTTGGACAAGGCCTTGGGTAATATGGTTTAGAGTGAGGTGTCCCTGCGCATGGCAGGGGGTTGGAACTTGATGGTCTTAAGGTCCTTTCCAACCCTAACTATTCTATGATTCTATGATTTAGAAATACATTCACTTGGTGCTGCTTACTGGGATTTGGGGATTTTTTTCACAGAATGGATGGATTTTTCGTTGATCTCTTTGTGAGGGTGTCAAACCAGGTTGCAGTAAATATGTATAAGCAACTAGGCTACAGTGTGTACCAAACAGTACTCTATAGCAGTGGAGAACCAGGTGAAGATGCTTATGGTAAGTAGTCAAGCTGAATGGAGGGTTCCTGGGTTTGTTTGTATGATTTTATTATATTTTTTTTTAATTCGAAACAAGGTTGGCTAGGTGTTGGTGAATGGAATTTTGCATACTTCTTTACGGAGCTTCTCTGACTGAAGATTACATCAGTTATAAAACTTAATCATGTAGTTTACACTTCTTGTAGCACCTGTGGCAAAATACAGAACAAGAATAAACTAGAAGTACAAAGGCACTCATCTTGTACGTAAGATGAAAATACAAATGCAGTTTCTAACCTAATTTTTCTTTCTGAGCAGTGCTCACACCCCGTGGCTGGGCTGTTACTGAGGGAAGGAGTTGCAGTGTTTTCCTCATTTCTTCCCACAAAAGGGACTTGAAACCCTGTTTTTCTCAGATGTGCAACTACAAATTTCCAGCTGTCAGTGATCAACAGTGTCACAGAACTGGGTGGCATTTTCAGTTTAAAAGGGAAGAAACATGGAAATTCAAGTATGTTAATGTTAATTCTGTTAACAAAACTTGAGTACCAGCTTCCTCTTTTTAGACCTTCTTTAGGATTCTCCCCAGTGGGTTACCTGGCCATGCTGTGTATCACTGAAAAACAGGAGCTATGGAGAGACATCTGCCAGTGTTAACAGACACCTTAATTTCTGTATTTGACCTTTTAGCCATTTACTTTCCATTCAGTTGAGGTTCATGCAGTGTTATATTCCAATTTATGACATTGCTGCTGAACAATTAAAACTGATTTTACTGTACTGCAGAATTCATTCACTATGGCTTTGTGCATTGGCTGTCTTACTATAATAGCTTTTTTTTTTTCCCCTTTTGCTACAAATACGAGAAAAGCTCTTTCCAGAGGTGCAGAGAAGAAATCGATTATACTTTTGCCTCCTCCAGTGAGACCAGAAGACACTGAATAACCGTAAGCTGTGGTCCTTGGGCAACTTAAGAGTGTCAGTTTCCTTCTGTACCCCTGGCTCCCAAGAACTGAGGGATGACAAATCTTAATCTCAATGTTTTTCCTCATGAAATACGAAAAGCAACATTGAGAAGCTTACTAATGCAGCTCTGCTGGTAATGTCTGCATATTCCTGGACTTACCCCATTATTTTTCCTTTCAAATACTGGAAATTCAGAGACTATTAAAGTGGAATTACTTCATGTATGGTGTTTTCTTGGTTTTCCTTCAACCCAAAAATAACTGAAGTCAGTAACAGTAAAAAATCTTCTCATGTTTATTCACGACTAATGAAGACACAATACAATATCCAAGAAGAGCAGCAGGGGAAAGCAATGTATTAATACTGGCATAAAACATAAAGCCATGTAGAAATGTCTTTCCCTTCTCCATGGCACAGGCCTGGGACTGAACTGAGTTTTACTATTGATTTGAGAAAGCCAGACAACCAAAGCAGTTCATGCTTTCTTTCCACCTTGGACCAGATTCAAGATGAGCTCTGTGTTCTGGGTACCCCCGTACTTGCCTTAACATGCTGTGTCTACTGAAGTAATCTGTGGTTAAGATTTATTGTTTCTTTTCAACTCTTCTTGCTCAACTTCAAGGTCAGTGTAGGATTTCTGAGGAACCTGCATCTTCAGCATCTTCAAACAAGTCTGTATCTAACACTCAAGATGGTTAATGGAGAAGCATGGGTAAATGTGGGATCGGCAGAAATGAAATTCAGAGAACAGAGTATTAGTTTGCCGTACAAGACAGGATTATGACTAAGCGATATCAAATCTTGTGTACATAATTAATTTATCTTACTCCTGTAAGCATGTTTGTCCTTCTGTTTTATCGTGGGTTTTACAGTCTTTTGTACCCTGCCAATAAACAAATGCAGGCTAAGCCACTGTGGTGAGTAGTTCCGTTCAAGGTGGTAGATTATTTACATTTAATTAGCCACACTGTGTAATAAATACTGGGGTTTGGTCCTGGTTTTCTTCCATCCTTATATCCAGCTTTCCATCCCTTTTTAGCTCTCACATTCTGTCTGGTATCCAGTCTCTCTTGTTCCTCTCTTGCTTCCAATCCCTACTCCATTCTCCATCACTGTTTTGCTGTCTCTTGTTTTTTTCTTCTTAAGAAGTGCCCTGTGACTTTTCCTTCATTCTCCCATGCCTGTGTCTTATGCCATGTCCAATTTTTGAGGCCAAGGAATTTACATGAGGAGTGACAAGTTGCTAGAAGCAGGTCCTTCATCCCATTGCTTCTCCATCACTTTGTTCCTATCTGTATCTCTATTGCTCAATCCTTCCCTGTTTTCTGTCCTTCTTTCTGTGTCTGGGTTTTAATTTTCTGTCATTTCTTGCTCTTCCTCAGTGTGGTTGCTTTTAAAAAGTTCTTTCAGTAGCTACTTTTATATCCTCACTGTCTTTTATGAAATCTTTCCCCAAGTCCTGCAGAGCAGGTGCACTCAGGGCTGCTCACTGCCCATTACAGTTGGTTTTCCCCAGTGCTGTCCTCTCTGTCCCTTTTTCTCTCTGTCATTGTCATGCTCCCTGTGTCTGTGTTTAACCTGCTATCTCTGTCTTGCAGCCCATCACTACTGTTTTCCTCTGCTTGGGGCTGGGGCAGTGGCTGCTCGGTTCCATTCTGCTCTGGGACCAGCATTGGGCAGGTGAGTGGTCAGTCCCCCAGCTGGAGCCTCTGGTGTTTGCAGCCAACAGAAGCGAGTTCGAGGGTGCTGCAGAAAGTGTGTGGAACCCAGAGAAAAGGCAGATTTGCTGCTGGTGCAGAAAAGCTGATGAAAAATTGCAGTCAACAGAGCATGCCCCGTACTTGAACTGGTCCCTTGATAGGTAAGAATGTTTTCCTTGCAGGTAGAAGCATGAATTTTCATCCACGATAAATTAAGAACTGCCTGTTAGTGTCTTTTGGACAGTGTCTTCTCTGTTTCATCATATTAATTTTGTGGGAAACCTTGAAGTAGCCTTTTGGATTTATATGTAGAACTAAATTTCTATTAATACATGATGTCAGTATAGTTTGGTTTTGAGCACCTAGATGCCAGTAGAAATGTAGTAAATGTATATTCCAAATGGCTATTTTTGAGAAACATAAATATTCAGGAAATCAGGGTTGTGTGTGGCAAAACATGCCCCTCTGTGTGTCCTGCTGAGTAAATGATATCAGTCAATAGCAGGTCCAACAGCAGGGCTGTGATTGCCTACTCTCAATATTGCTGTAGTAGTGCTGCAATATTTAACAGATTGGTTCTGAAATAGAAGGAGAATGCCGTGCCCTGTAGGGGCTATGAATGCTGACCCTTTTCTCTGCCTGCCTCTGCCACGCAATGGAGCTGGTTTATTTTTTGTTCCGGGTCTAAATGTTTTGGGACATGTTGCTGCTGTGTGTTCATACTTTGTGTTGCTGCTTTTTCATAGAGTTGGAGTTAGGAATCACTTCCACTATGGCAAAGTGTCAAAATACGGTTTTTAGTTTAAAGCCTCAGAAACCATGTTCACTGAATGTCGACGTTGGTGAAACTGATGTGTGCGCTGCCGTGCTCACAGGGATGCTCGGCAGCTTCTCGTAGAAACAACAGACACGTGGGCAGGCACAGGGTTGTGCTCTGAGACTGAGAGAATTAAGTATTTTAGCTGTTGGGCAATGGAATAGAGCATGTGTCTGTTAAATCTTAGGATGGTCAGAAGCTGGGAGGCAGCCTCAGTCGTGCCCTTTGATGGCACAATTGCAGTTGCGAAAGATCTTGGCCATTTGGAGAAGCAGCCTGGAAAAATAAAAATAAATTTTTGCAATGAGGCATTGACAAGGGAAGATGTGTTGCTGCACACTCTAACAAAAAAATATCCAACTTGGGACCAGTAGGGTGAGGAAGTCCTGGCTGTACATAGACTTGAGAAAAAGCGTGTGGGTGTCTGTGTCCCTCACCTTTGTGTTTCTACCAGAGCAGTTCTACTGAAACTCAAAGCTGCCAGTGAGTTAGAGACAGGGTTGTCTAAACAACACAAAGCTCTAGCAGCCTCTATCACCAGCTGTAACAAAGATGATGAAAAATACTTTTACCTTGGCTTGTCTGTAGTCTTCACAAAGCTGCACCAACAAGGGAAGCTTTGGATTCCTATCCAGCCTGATGTTAAAGGGTTTTTTCCTCTCTCGGCGTGATGTTGGCTGCCACCATATCACTGCAGTTGCCCTTTGTTCCATAATGAAAGGAAAAGGAAGAGAGATGAATCTGTAGAGGTCTGCAAGCACTAGGGATGTCAATGATGTGTGTCTGGATTTTTCCAAAGCTACTTGTAGTATGGACTTTAAAGTTGACATCAGGATTGTGCCAACTCTCCTTCTCTGTTTTTTCTATGGAATATTTTTAAGACAAATATTTAAAATAAGGTCTGTTGTGGAGCATGTGATGCTGTGTGAAACTTGCTCCCCTCCGTTTATGGTCTCCTGTTAGCACAACCTGCTGTTTCTGTGCACTTAATTAAATGATACTGTGAAAATACTGCAGTGCTGAAAGAGAAAAGAAAGTGTTTGAAAGAGCTCAGATATTCACAATCAAAGTTTTCTGCTTTTTCAGTTCATAAGTTTTTAAAAACGCTTGCAGTAGTACTTGAGAACCTTGCACTAGTGTCTGTACTAGAAGCAACGAAGGTTGCAGAGGAGCCGTGGACCCAAGGGATAAATTGGTATTGCTTCTGTGTGTTTTCCAGGCTTTCTGGAGAAACATTGGCAGGCTTGTAAGCAAGGATGGTGACTCTGGATGTGTTTTTGGTGAGTTGTTGCTTCAATGGTGTCCTTTTTCCTTAGCCTATGATGTGTAAATTTTGTGGAAGAGAAAACTTTCTCAAAGAAATTGTGTTTGTGGAATTCTCCACCAGAGGGGATCTTCAGATCCCTTCTGCTGTACCTCACACCCCTTCTTGCTGTTCTAGATAGTAAACTCATCAGCAAGAGGACTTTTCACCTTCTACAAAGAAAGAAAGTCCATTTCC